CCCGGCATCCCCCCGGCTCCCACCTCAATCCCGGCCCCGTTCCTTCCCACCAACCCCACATCCCACCAGCACTGGCATCAGACCCCGACACCATTCGTCCAACGCACCGCCCCTGCCTCAGTAGAGATACTAGGAAAAAGTTTTTTGTCTAAAAGGTTGTCAGGCATTGGAACAGCCTGCTCGGGCAAGTGATGGAGTTACACATCCCTGTGATGGAGTTACACATCCCTGAAGGTGTGGGGACACCTGGGGACATGGTTAGTGGTGGCCTTGGCAGCTCAGGTTAGAGGTTGAACTCAATGATCTTAAAGGTGTGAGAAAATTTTCCAACTTAAACGTGATTCTGTGATTTTATTACAGTGGCAATGATGTTCATGATCTTTAGATCTCAGACCCAGAATCTGGGTGAGGTGACACCCTCAGATCACCTGTGTCACCTGGCACAGGGTGAGGTGACCCCCTCCAAGGAGCTCCTTGCACAGTCATTGCAGTAGAACTCTCCTTCCCAGTCACCAAACACAGTTCAGATAAACTCAGTGCAGCAGAGGTAAGAGATTCAGAGATGAGGCATTTAAGGGACTTGCACTTTACTCAACAACTCAATGACCCCTTCCTTGGTGAGGAACAAAACCTCGCCGGCATTCTGATCCCAAACCTCAAAAACCGGGGGGTCCTCACAAACCCTCTTCCCGGCCACGACCACGTAGGGATAACCCARCTTATTGGCATCCTTCAGCCTTTTGCCGATGGTCAGCTGGGTCCGGTCGTCCAGCACCGAGTCGCCAGCAAGGTGGGGCAGTGCTTCGGCCAGGTCATCGTACAGCCGCTCCAGCAGCGCCGCTCCCTCCTCCTCCTCCTTGCTGCCTCTCTTGGGGGGGATGAAGCAGAGCTGGTAGGGMGCGATGAGGCTCGGCCAGCGGATGCTGTCCTCGGTGGAGAGCACCTCGATGGAGGCCGCCAGGATGCGAGAGACGCCCAGGCCGTAGCAACCCATCTCTGCCAGCTGGGGCTTGTTCTTGGCGGAGGAGAAGACGGCGTTGGCGACRGAGGAGTACTTGGTGCCCAGGTAAAACGTGTGCCCCACCTCGATGCCTTTGGTCTCGGTGAGTTTCTCCCCGCACGTGGGGCACGAGGTTTGCTCCCCACTCAGCGTCTCCACGTTGGCCGCGAAATGTCCCTGAGGGCACAGCAGCAGCCTGTCCTCGCCGATGTCCGCCGGCAGCTGGAACTCGTGGGACGTGGTGCCACCGATGCTGCCCGTGGCCGCCTGCACCTTGACGAAGGGCAGGCRCAGGCGGGTGAAGAGGCTGCAGTAGGCATCGCACACCTGCTGGTAGGTGCGCCGAGCCGCCTCCTCACACGTGTCGAAGGTGTACATGTCCTTCATGTAGAACTCGCGGCTGCGCAGCAAACCGAAGCGGGGCTTGGGCTCATCACGGAACTTCCTGGTGACCTGGTAGAGGCGCAGCGGGAGCTGCTTGTAGGACAGGCCGCCGTGCGMGGCCACCAGCGCCGTCACCGCCTCCTCGTGCGTGGGGCCCAGGCAGTAGCTGTGGTTGTGCCGATCCACCAGGCGGAASAGCTCCGGGCCCATCTGGTCCCAGCGGCCGCTGGCGCGCCACAGCTCCGCCGAGCACAGGCTGGGCAGGTTGAGCTTCTGCCCGCCCACGGCCTGCATCTCTTCGTCCATCACCTTGATCAGCTTCTCCATGGCGCGCACGGCGGGCGGCAGGTAGCAGTAGCAGCCGGGGCTGGCGGGGTGGATGAGCCCACCCTGCAGCATCAGCCGCTGGCTGCGGCAGGTGGGCTCCCCGGGCCGGCCCTCGGAGCCCCCCTGCCCACCCAGGGSCAGAGCCAGGGGCTGGAAGAGCTGCGAGAGCAGCAGGCGCTTGGCCCTGCCCGCGGTGCCGCCGTGCCGAGCYCTGACACCGCGCTGCCGAGCGCCCAGCGCCGGGACACGGCACCTGCTCAGCAAGGCCTCCATGGTGGATGGAGAGGGACCGGGGCCTGCGGAGAGAGAGCCGGACACAGCAAGGGTCAGCGCTGACCACACAGTGCGGGCTGCCCTCGGACAGCACTGCGGGGGCTCAGCACTCTGCAGCCACCCTGACACACACAAGTGTGCCCTGAGCTCACAGGGACCCGCACACACCTGGGGCACACACCTGAGCTCACA